AAAGGGAACGCAGAGTACAAGAAACCATATTTTTTCCCCGCATTTTTGAATTGACTTAAAACCCTGGCTTGACAGTCCACTTGGTTTGTATGCATTCTGAGAAAAAAAAATGTTCAAGAAAACAATATGTTTAGAAAAAAAAAGTACATACACCCAAGGCAATAATTTGTCTCTATTTTCTTTTTTAAGGTATCGATCACTTTGGCGAACCCGTCCATGGAAGTATGTACCGAGGCCTCTGATCTAATGGTCCGTAGGAAGCTTTAGAGTATCCAGACTACACCTTCGAAGATCATTTCAAAAAGGCAATTCCATCCTTCCAACCCAGAGAGGTTCTCTATGATTATCTCAAAGGTAAAACATCTCCTCACCTTAACAGCTCAAACCTGCTTGTTAGCTCTCCTTCCGCTTTCAAAAACTTTGTTTAAACTGTTGTCACTGGTTTTCCGAATTTCGTGATGAAAAGGTCATTCAACATGTCTATCTCTTAGGGGTAAAAGTACCTGTAGACGAACTACGTCTGGCTTAACAAATTGACAGACAACTACTGGCACGTAATTGAACAATGTTCCTCTTAAATCTTTGATCAGGTCGTTGGACCAAAGGCAATCTTCGACACTGGATCCGTTTCAACCATGTCGTCCGCCAGGTGACCTACAACAACGATACTGACGACTTTTCAGTAGTTGTCAAAAGCCTTGTCGAGGACAAAGACCTTCCTGTTCAGAAGTATGACTACCTTATTGTAGCAAGTGGACACTTTTCTGTGCCGAACGTCCCCTCTTTTCAAGGAATAGAGAAGTTTCCTGGACGTGTAATGCACTCTATCACACAACTTCCGAAATCCTTATCAGTTCCAAGGTCAGACGCTCCGTATAGTTGTTTCCAGCTCTTCTGCTGAGGATATGGCCATCCAGAACCTCAAATGTGGTGCGAAGAAGATCATTTGTTGCTACAAGACCAAGCCGATGGGATTGACGTGGCCCCCTGAGATCACCGAGAGACCCGTGCTAATCAAGATCGAAGGTAAAACCGTCCACTTCAGGGATGGTACGACTGCCGATGTGGACGCCATCATTTTGTGCACCGGCTACCTCTTCCACTTTCCACTCGTTGAGGAGCGTCTTCGACTGAAGGCCAAGAATATCTTGTATCCTGCAGGCATGTAAAAGAATGTGCTGTGGACCGAGACTGGCAACAACAACTTCTTTTACATCGGAATGCAGAACCAATACTACACCCCCGCTATGTTCGACGCACAAGCCAATTGGACCGTCAATTGGATCACAGGGGAGCTAAAATTCCCTGACAAGGAAGCCATGAGGAAGGACATAGAGAAATGGATCGCAAAGTAATAAGTCATAGGGATATTTTTCCTATATTGTCCAATGGCTTCTCTAGAAGTCTTTACTAATATTACTTCCCTACGCTCCTTGACTGATCTTTTAAAAAAGCCGTCGCCATCCCAACTAATCAGAGGAAACTTCAATGAACAATCAAGCATAACTCGATAAATCAGATTCAAAGCTTAAGCCTCAATCGTTTATCTGTCATGCGCGTTTTCCTATCATTAGCCCAGTTCACTTTTGTTTTCTTTGAGTTTCATTCGCTACTAGTTCCTTTTTTTCTTTTATTGCAACGTTACGACAAACACACTCAATCAAATGCACTCAAAGGGATCTTTCCTCCATACGTTGAAAACAGCTTTGCTGCTATCTAAAAAGGAAAACCTAAACGTGATAATTGCTAATACTGGGTCACGGTATTAAAACTATTTTTTCCTTTCGTTACGAGTTGTAAGCTTCAAATGAGCGAAGCAAAAAAAAATTGACCTCATAACGGATCAGTAACAGGAAATTTTACTATTTGTTTTTCTTCATCCTTTCAGGATGAATAAACTGAAGGTCAGTCACGATGATGTAGGATTCCAGACCGAATACGTGGTCGACACTGCCAAGAATGTAAACTATGGATATGACCTGGATTCCTCCCAACAGCTGCATGACTGGCAACATCACAGACATGAGGACATCCTCACTTACAGAGTTCGAAGCCACGCAAGCAAGTTTACTGGAAAACAGGCCCCAATTCACCGCACTAAATTTATGAAGGCGTTTGATGTCTCTATGGCGACGTATTTAGACCCATTAAACCCTGAACTAGTACTGGCTGGAAGCAAAGTTAGAGAATACAACGGTGATTCTTGTTTTGGTAAGACTTTTAAAGCGCCAAGGATTGTAGAGCTGTAGGAAAAAGATAATGTCGTCGTGAAAACACATTCCATTCTTGAAACGGATGTTGTAAGCACTGAGATACTACGTATGATTAAAACAAATTCTTAAGAAACTGGGGTATTGAATATTTCGATTTCAAGCTTAAAGTAGTAGGTTCTGAAATATAGCTTCAATCGTTTCAAAGTTAAATGTTACAATTAATAAGTCAAAGTGAATATTATTGTACAGAAGAATGCCGTTGGGGCTTACGGGCTAAGATCCGTCAACTCCTAACAAAAAAAGAGAGAGTGCGATGAAAAAAATCGTAGTGATCAAACCGGTTAAAAGGAACTTAATTTTTTTCTCGAAATTAATCCCTGTTTTCCTGGAATGAGATCCTCCGCCATCTTTCTATTATTGTGGAGAATTTTAGTGGAGGGTAAGTTAAGGACAAACTAGCACGTTAGATCTTCACTCCCAAGCTAGCCTGGACAAGGTCGTCCTGGTTTACTATCTATTAAAAGATATTGAAAATGGTATTAATTGTTTGGTAATAAGTTTAAACTCCTTGGTTATTTCCTGAAGTGGGACGTGATAGATAGACACTTTATTATCCAACTTGCACGATTTGAAAAAAGAAATTCCTAAAGCCAGTCTGAAATCGTTTGTTCATTGAGAATTAATTTGGTGTCCGTTTGCTGGTGACGAAAAGGAATAAACAGGTACATTAAAGAAGGACTGGGATGCAGAGATACTTTCAAAGACAGGTAGACAGATAATAATAATAAACTTTCATCGGGTGCCAATTACCAGCACACTATCACGCTCGATTATGATAACAGTAGGCGCATCAAGAAACTGCGTATTTCAAGCTTTTTCACGAGCTTTAGACAGTCAAATCGATTTATTCTTGGAAAGGATCCATAAAAATGAACTCAGTATCACTGAACAAGAGCATTCTTCTTGAAAATAAATTTAAACCACTCCCTTTCTTTCTTATTCATGTTAAGTCGTAAACATTTTTCACCTGACCTACAACAGATATAATACTGTTCACAAGCCCGCTAATTTCTTGGGGAGGAAGGGGGAGAAGCACAGGTCCTGTTTATATCAGAAATTGCTCAGATGTTCCCAACACGAAGGATGCCTTGATACACTCAACTTTTACCTTGAGAACACTATTAAATGTTACTGAATGACAACATAACCAGAGTAATGAAGGAAAACCGGAGACAGTTCTAGAGGGAACGCAAGCTTTGCGGATTTAGCCTCCTTCCGTTTCTCGTTCGCCTTTCTAGTTTTTGGCCTCCTCAGTTCATTTCCGTTCGAATCAATGTTTACCGCTTTTTGGGGGTTAGAGAGATTCTTATTCTATTATTACGGTTTACATGGAAATTTTCGCAGGTTTTGCTGTTTCATTAACGATAGGGTTCCCTTTTTCATTTGCCACTAACTAATAAATATATGGTTCTTAACCTTCGTAATCAGTTTAAAATTTCAGGACATGATCAGCACCCACATAACCTCCCACTCAAGGACAAACCCAATGAGATATCTCGTAAAGAAGCATATTAAATTAAGTTTTGTGTGGGGTTTTTCTTCATGACTCTCTCTGCAATATAAAGAGGACATTTAATTCACTATTTGTCACATAAAGCTCTATCACAATGAGATAATAAATTATACAAACTAGAGCTAAGAAAAAGGTTCAAGTCGGGTGCAGTCACTGACTTCAATTAAAGTTTAGGAGTACTGGAATACTAAGAACTCAAAGTCGAAGGTAACTAGGATAAAAATGATATACGACAAAAGGGCTTGCATCCATGACGAATAGGCGTTCTTGCTCAGATATTACACTTGATTGTTTTACAATACCAATAATATGGGTACAAATAATGCGCGAATCGCGTACAAATATCCTGCGATATTGGCACACTTTTTTGTAATGTAAAAAAAAAAAAAAGGTCGGCTGCGCGGGGTTTGCTTCTCTATCTACCACCCTTTACCCACTTTAAGAAACGCGCATGAAATAAAGCAGTTGGATAATAACTTATCAGACGTTTTGTTGTGTTGTATCGCAGATCATCTCTACTTATTCTTTGTATTTTGACAGGTGCTACGGGTTGGTCAAAATATGGAACAACTCGTAAAAATACTCAGCGATATGTAACACCAAAACGTTCTATAAGTTATATTCTAGTACTTTTCATCACTCTATTGGTGGTTCTGAGTAAATTTTAATCTGCGATGCAACGAACAGGTATCAAATTCGATTCTAAAATACAATTTCTAATTCGACCACAAAAAATAACCAGCGTCCGGTGTACAAAAAAGAAATTTCAGTGACTTTAGCGCACGGCTAATACAAGTAGAAAAGTAAGGAAAAGTTAGGGAGGGGTGAGAGTTTCATTTGCAACTTTCTGACAACTAACAAACTGAGTAAGGGAGGGGGAAGGCGTTTTGCTCTGCCATTCAAAGTAACTTCTACGAAGACTGCATTATCTGTCAAATCCACCCTAACTACTATCTCGAACCTCCCTCTATTTTGAAGGTAAGTGGTAAAGAAATGAAGCAACTTCCTAACTGAATTAACACGTAAGCCAAAACTGTTAAATGAGGTGATATTTTTATTTCACGAATTTCTCATGGGAAAGAGAACAAAAACATATCAGTTGCAATCTAAGCATATCTAATCAACTCCTGATGATTAAGTCTGCAATTGACTTCTTCCACTTTTTTTATGAACCCAGATGCCTTGATAAGTTACAGGAAACACCAAACCACAAATCTGTATTCATTTGTATTTCAATTAATCTTTTCACAGAATAATCCGTTTTATAATGCAGCTTTAAAATCATTTCTTACAGTGGATTGTGTGGTCAGTTAGAAATCACATTTTTTTTTCTGTCCTCTTACTTGGTGTATGCATATTATTTTTTAACTTCAGACACCCAGCCAATGTCTGTGCATAAATAACTTGTCTTTGTTCACCTGGCATTGTTTGCATTACCAGATATCATTTTTACAGAATTTGAACAAAAAGCTATTCTTGCCTCTTGGGAACTTTTAAATAAAAATTATACAATTCACGATTTAAATATAAACTTAACGTTCCCTTACAACTTTCGCATTCCAAAATTTAGAGTAGATTGTTTTACACATTAAAATTGTACCCATCAAAGGGTTTTTAGGTTAGATTTTTATCACTTTGATTACATTACATTTTCTTCCATATTTGTATCCTTCTGACAATTTTTAAGAGAGAAATAATATCAAAATTACGTTAAAATAACCTTCCAGCCAAGGTCTAAATCAAGTTAGCGTCATTAAATAAAGCGTATTCTAAATGCTACCTTGTCGATCGCTTACACTTCTTACCGCCCAAGCTTGGTTTTGTTTTTCTAAAGTATTAAAATGACCATTCGCACCTCCACGATTTTGTCTACTTTGAGAGTATTTATCTACTGGTTTGTGTTCTGGAAGCCGTAACTCCATTCCCTCTCCGTGATCAGAGCTAAATTCGAAAGGAGCAATGCGATGTTTGCGCCCGAGTGAAGTCAATCGGTATGCCTGTGATGCATCGGGCTTACAAAACACTCTTTTGCATCCTTGGCGAAAATCCCCACTAAAAAGGGCATATATCGCTACGTTTAACGTTGAATTTGAAAAGGACAGTAGTAACAAACACACGTACACGTATGGCTTTAAAATAGAGTTCAACGAAGATAGAACAAGGCTTAGAAAGTACGGAAGACAACAACAAATAAATACGAGCCACTGAAGGAACAGCATACGAAGTACTTTGATTTTCGAACGAGGTACGCGGAACGCGTTCCTTCTGAAACTATTAGAGGTACTCTTCGCGTGAAGATTTCGAGTTATAATAGTGAAAGCAATTCGCAAGTACATCACAACAGTGAAGATAAGAGGGGAACAAAACGCAAGAAAGAAAAATAACATTAGGAAGACCTTCCATTCAACTCCCGTGAAGTCGGGACGGCAAAAATGTTCGTTATCCACCTTGTCTGGCGACGTTGATGTGAAAAAATACAAAGTTGGTGCCGAAGAACAGATCATAAAGATCCAAACGAAAATAATAAGCTCTTTGGTTTGAGAACGGCTCATTTTGAATTTTAACGGATGTACAATGATATAGAAACGATCCAGTGAAATACAGGCCAGAAGCCCCGAAGATACACCAGCGTTTAAGAAGTGGAAGAAAACAGTCAGTTTACACGTTCCATCAAACAGCCAAGAACCACGCATGATCCAGATCATGGTCCAAAGAACACACATGAAGGGTACCGTCAAGTTCGATAAGCCCAAACTCAAAACAAAATAATTGGTCGTCCATTCGCTTCGCCGACTTTTCTGTATGACCAGTAGAATTAGCCCATTTCCGAGCACTGATCCCACAAAAATCATCGACAGTACAAACATTTCGGCAACAACAGCCCCAGAGCTCGAACATCCTGGACTGGAGACGACATTTCGTTGGGAACAATTCGCCATGTCGACGTCCGCCATACTTTTCAGAGCAGTTGTGTGTCATGTAAACAAACCGGGAATGAAAAGTTACGCGTTCCATTTGCCTGTAAAGAAATCGACTTCATTCGCGTGGTCGCTTTCTGAGGGGAAATTCATTCTTTAAAGAGTAAATGTGTTCGTTGAAATTCTTTTCCCATGGGCACCATAAGCTTATCTATTAAAATAATTCAGGTAACCTTTCCGCAATCGCTCGCTTTCTCTTCAAATGCAAATTACTTGCTCTGTGCAATCGGATCGCATGTTGTTTTGTCGCCCTGTCGCTGGGATACGGGACATCTGTCACTCACAAAAAGGGGAAAGGACGTAATTTTCTTTTATTGCAGAGAGGATATTTTGTGAAAATCTTACTTAGGATCAAACAGTCACATAAGAGGCTAAAGCTAAACAAAACGCAGGGATTTTCGTGAGAAGGGACACTTACAAGTTTTCTACGTTCAATATATCATGAAGAAACGATATTATGGTCGCTAGTACAGACAGGTGAAAGAAACCTATTATCGACAACCGCTCTATGATTCGAATTCATAAAAAAACAGTTCGAGACAAATCAGTCATTTATAATAAAAGGCATGAGGATAACTACATTTAAAACAGCTGAGAACAACCCATTTCGACGGGTTCATCAAATACGAAACATTTGATTTCATAATTACTCTTCGATATGCATGGAAAGACAAAATGTCTGCACACAAAAATAATTATTCATGGATTCGCCAGTTTAATGATCACCAGAAACATACCATTCACAGGATGTTTTCTATAGTTTGTGTTAACTACAAGAAGTATCAACAGAAAAAGGGCCGTGATTACGTCAATTTCAACAGCTGAGGCTTACTAAGTATTTCGGGCATAATTTGGTACAGTTGCGGTAAAAACACTGAAGCTTTCGTTCTCACTTATATTGCTAGGCAAGTGTTTATAGTGATCTAATACCCGTTTTTAGTATTTTCTCTGGCCCCTCAAGCATTATTTGAGTCGTTTAGGTTCTGAGCATGCAATATTGTGAATAAAAGTATTTCCTTTCAAAAACAGTGTCGAAGAATCGAACCACAAATTGACGCAGTGATTACTATACTTCAGACATAACCAATTTCAAAACCTTTGATACATAAAAGTGTTTACTTTTTATTAAATTTTTTTTGGGGTCATTCAATTATTATTATTATTTTTTTTTGACATATGTGAGCAGACTATCGTCACACAGCATTCTAAATATTTGTCATGAGGGAAGGGCAATGCGGAAAATGTCGGAAACGAAATTGGAAACATTCCCACGCGTGTCACTCGCGTGTCGCGAGGCGTATGTTGCAAAATTGAAAGGACCAGCATTGATATTTCCTTTTTATTGTCTATTATGCGTATACAATAAATATATGATATACCACGCAATGAGGTTTCATTCTGCGAGCTTAAAAATATAACTCTATGGCCCTTTTCAGGACCACAATATGTAGACTTTCAAATATTTATTTAACCCAAAAGGAGCGAGTGTAGTTTAAAATTGAAACAGAAGCGACCCACACCAGCTTCAGCTTTAAAATTAAACAGGATAAAAAGTTATGCTAGAGCATAAAATATGATCAGAAATTAATCTACGACTCCCTAAAAAAGAAGACAGCTACTCTAAAACTCCACACAGCAAAACCGTTTTTCACAGTTACGCGAGGAATTTTGACAAAACTCGTATCAGCCTGTTTCTTTTTTCCAGTAAAGAATGTTTTTTTTTTTCTTTCGCACCAAAGAGGCTCGATGTTGGAAGCCATTGAGACCAAAACGAGGAATTTTTAGACCCATTTGTAGCATTATTTACTTTGCTGGTTCGCTGACGTTACGTTGTTAGCTTTAGCTGGTCTCGTACCCAGGCCTTCCACTGTAGGATCTGGGAACGAGATTAAGCTTTAGCTTGAAAACGGCGAAAACAGACCTTATGTTGCGTATGTTGCCAATTGGTGAATAAAATGTTTTAAAATTCAAGTTAACTCTTATATTTCTACAATAAAAAGAAGATTAAAGGGAGAAGTAGTCCCTGGTCATGTATCTAATGTATAAGATTTTAAACCTATTTAAAAAAAAAAAAAAAATAGAACAGTTTTTTAAAGTTATGTATGGTTGAAAATTTCTTGCTGATAACGTCGTATCATAAATCCGTTGGCGCATCCCTGAGAAAGTGACAACATGGGTGTTTTCGTCAAGAGATGTCTTCGGATAATCTTCGGCAAATCCTTTCATACGAAGAACCTATCAATCACGCTACAACTCGTAAACCGAGCATTCTCCTCGCTGAATCGTCCGCAATAATCAGTTGCTTCTCGGGATTCATATTCGTAAACAATGTCACGAAAACGCCCCGGATTCCATTTCGTTGATTAACTTGGCACAGTTAATTCCTCTACAAGTGGCGCGGTTCGGGCGGACCATAAGGCCGTGTTGCGGTTTGCTGAAAAGTTATGTAAATGTATTTGTCGAGTTACCTTCAGCTGTGGCAAATACTTTTGGAATAAAGTCTTTTCAAGATCGATTGGAATAGAAATCTAGTCCTTAAACTCACCGGACGGCAAATTTTGTTGGATCTTACTTTTTAGGATTCAACGGGTGGCCACGAACAACCCCTGACGCGGCACAGTGCTTTTAATTTTAAGCAGACAGGCTTTCAGGCGGAAGTATGGGGTACAATACAGTTTTCACGGTATCTAGGGGTATGCTCATTCCTTTTTGTTGACAATAGGCGGGGAGGGACTGCACTAGCATTTTCATATTATTGAGAAGCATTCCAGTTTTTTTTCTCTTGTCGACAAGCAATATGCACCTTAATAATTTGAATATATCAACAAAGTTGAAATGGTAAATTGGCCACCTTTACGATTATAAAAGCTGACGTTTCGAGCGTTAGCCCTTCGTCGGAGCGAATAGAGGAATTGTGGGTTGTGTGTGTTTTTAAAGGCAGAAAATGGAGCTACGTTATTGGTGGGAACATGGCAAGAAGGAAACCAAGAATAAATTAGTGGAATGAAAAGCGTTCGTTGATGCCTGTGGGATTTAGACTGCCGGTTTGAAAGACGAGCTTTTGTTGAAGAMTTTTACGCCTTTCCGTGCAACGTAAGTGAAAGGAAAGACCGCAGATTGCCATATGTTGCTTAGAATGATTAGGTGAATTAAAATGTCTAGCGACTGGTTTCGATGTGTCCTTGTCATTCCCACCAATAACCATGTTCCCACCAATAACGTAGCTACATTTTCTGCTTTTAAAAGCACACACAACCCACAATTCCTCTATTCACTCCGACGAAGGGCTAACGCTCGAAACGTCAGCTTTTATAATCGTAACGTTGGCCAATTTACCATTTCAACTTTGTTGATATATTCAAATAATTTCGTTTCTTTAGAAACTATCAGCCTTTATTCAATATGTACCTTAGACGGGGAGGGGGGTACACTCACATTTTCAAGATATTTAGCGGTATGTCAGGTTTCTTATTGATAGACAGGGAGCATCTAGGCGGGGGGGGAGGGGACTGCGTTGGAATTTTTCAGATATTTTGGGGTATCACAGCTCTCTTTACCTTACGAAAAAAAAGGGAGGTCAAATGAGTGGTGGACTTCAATGGCGATTTCATGATATCTGGGGGCACGCCGCCAGGGTTCACTGTTCATAAAAAAGGGAGGTCATATCTACCCTATCCCACCTCTTCCCTTCTGACCCTATCAAACATCATTTGTCTTGAAGTAATTCTCATTGCCGGCTGCCATACAGTTCTCATGAAGTTGGTTGGGAGAAGTTGGTATTGGATTAACTAAAAATCGCCCGACTGATATTTTTCTTTATTCTTATAACTTGACTTCTTGATATTGTATTGATATTGTAAGGAGAAATTCCTTCTTGGTCACCCACGGGAGAGTAAGGGTTAAAGATAATACGATGATCTCGGACCACCCCTGTGGGTAAGAATTAAGTTAGGTATGATGCATGAAAACTGGACGACTCTGCTCTTAAGAATCCTCATGAGAATAATATAGATATTCTCTGAGTCTTATGCTCTCCAGTTTTACACAATCATGGTACTTTCTCGTTAACCCAGAATACACGCATAAGTAAACAGTTTAACCAAAAATAATAAAGAAAATAGCACAAAAGTAAGGGAAAAAACCCACCACGAGAAGTATTTCTTGCCATTAACTGAGCCGTCGTTCTTTCCAACTGTAAAAAAGAGGATACGAGGTAAATAAACCATCTGGCTAGAAATATTTCGTACTTCTCTAGCTCCAAAAAAAAACAAAAAAAAACTAAAGGAGACTAGTCAGGTCAACAAGCCACTGCTAGTGGGATCAATTTATTGCTACTCCTCTCGGATAGGAAGCTCATTAATAGTGGGATCAATTTATTGCTACTCCTCTCGGATAAGAAGTTCGTTAATCCTTTACACCATCACATTAATGCCTTGTCACTCGCCCCAGATCTTCCACCCGTCCAATATGGCGACCGAATTCACCGCGCTTAATCTCGCGCTTGAAAACACAAACTACCGCCTGCAAGCAGGCCATTCAAACTTGAAAATGATCTTTTTTCACGCAACGCTTGGGGGAGTGGGACTTGATATACAGCTGTTATGGAGACTAAGGAAAAACATACGCAACGCTTGAGGGAACGCCGCGGGACTTAATATACAGCTGTTAAGGAGGCTGAGGAAAAACACACGCACGCAACAAAGAGATTTTGTAAGACTACCAAATAAGGACTGTTTATCTCTCTTCTGGTATAAATGTCCTGAGTGGTTTGAACTTTCAGCTACCAATTTGACAAAGAGTTTAGTACACATCTACATATATGACGGCTAAAACTAGGGGGTTTGTTATCGTACCAGGCTTTCTCATTTCAACACCAAGCCAGGTCCCTTCTGCAAATTCCGCTGGTCCGATGTATCGCACAACGCCTAGTTCGCCGTTAACAAGCACACTTAGACCCTACAAAGAACACAACAAGAATTTAAAAAAAGTCGAGAAGAAAAACATTAAAAAAAAAGTTGTAGTTGAGTTCGCAAATGTGTCAAAATCAATGCGAAATATACTGCGCGATAAACAAATATCTTGTGAACGCCACAGTTACTAATGCGGAAATGTTATCCAGGTTTTCGAACATAGAGCGACTGGGAGTAGTGTTGTTCTTCGGGTTAGATACTCATTAAATACATGTTATCACCCAGTCCGTTTCTCAAGCAGATTCTCGGTAACTCTTTATACTATTTGGTGGGGAGGGGTACCATTCTAAAAGTATTCAACCGTGGGAGTTGTGTCTTACCCTAAATATAACATAATGAGCCCTTAATAATAACAACAACAATAATAATAATGATAATAAATAATAATTCGAGTATTTCGATAGCGCTAGTTACATAGAAACGATCACTAGCGCTTTACAATGATAACTATTCTACAACAATCTAAGTATGCCATGTAAAATGTCAATGAGACTTACAATAAAATAAAACAAATCAGATTAAATAATATTCATAAAAACTTAAATAAAATAAAATTTCTGGTCTAAATGATGGGATAGCACGCAAGGTTCTTATTCCGAAGGCGAAGGCACGATTAACGCAAATATTCACGAAGTGTTATAATGCCCACGTGGTAACTGAAGGGTGCTTTTTGTAAATCTAGGCCTGTATGGTAATTGAACCCATGACCTCTGCGATACCGGTGCAGTTTACTAACAGTTTATTAATTAACTAAGTTACTAACCGTAGTTAGTTGGAATTCTGCTGACACTTTTCCTTTCTGTTGAGGTAAACTACCTCTCCTTATTGTCTGCAAGCTTCTGAAACGGATCAAGACTTTTACATTTATAAAAACTGACTTAGCATCATTAGCAATGCTTTGTCAGTTATAAAAATTTGTTCAATTTGATTTTTGTGTAATAAGTTTCCAGCACTACCGTTTTTTTGTCAAGTAACCGCACTGTCAAAGATTGAGAAATAAGAACAATCAAATAACCACGAACTAACTTCAAAATTCTCATACTTATCGGAAGAAATCGAAGAAGCACTGCTTCGTCTTGGTGTTTGTTGTTCCGGATTGGACTGGGTCGATACTTTCCGCGCGCTGCTGTTGAGGTCTGGGTTAGAGTCTGTTTGTGATAAGTCGCTTTGTGATCCATGTGATCCCGAAGCTTGTAATGAACTCTGGGAGCCGAACTTGCTCTTCAGAACAGGGATTGCTGGGACTGCAAAGCCATTGTGCTCGCTTGCGTGTGTTAGGTCTGATTTCCTAGGAATGGGAAATTATTTACCTCGAAAATTACTTAAAGCAAGAAGAGTGACTGTGATCAAATTTCTACCTTCAGCATCACAGCTGAATCGAACATTAGGGTCAGGAGAATAACGAAAATTATCACAAACTAAAGAAGCTCGAGATTGGCAAACTAATTCTCCTTGTAAGTACAATATGAAATGTATAAAGAGCATTATGGAGAATATACATATCAAGGTGAGGATGTAAAGGGTGAAAGAGTAAGCAAAACACGACAGAGATCACACTTGTAAAACTCTCAATGCAAAAAAAAAACAATTAAAAAATCCAGTGTCACTGAGTATAACATGGGTTAAACATTCAACGTGAAACATTTTACAGAGTTTTTCGTCTTGAGTCTAGTCTTGATGAAGCTGTCAGTGCTATCAATAGATGTATTTGTGATTTAAGAAATTGGATGATTAGGGATAGGCTAATGATTAATGACGATAAAACTGAGTTGATCTTAATAGGACCTAGACAACAATTAGGTAAGATCAACGATGAATGGAATATTTCCGTTGGTGATTGTGATATTTATCCTAGTTCCTGTGTTAGAAATCTCGGTGCATGGTTTGATAATAAGTTGTCTATGTCAACGCACGTTAATAAAATTTGTAATTCCGCGTTTTATCACCTACATAATATTAGGAGGATTAAGAATTATTTATCTCGCGATTCGTTATTAACGCTTATTCATGCTTTTATCACTAGTCGTTTAGACTATTGTAATGGACTTTTGTATGGCCTTCCTAAGTCGCAAATAGCCAAATTGCAACGTGTGCAGAATGCTGCGGCTAGACTTGTACTGAGTTTAAGTAAGTATTCGCATATTTCTCCTGCGCTTTGTCAACTTCACTGGTTACCAGTACAACATCGTGTTCATTTTAAGATCATAATTTTAACATTTAAAGCTATTCATGGATGGGCGCCTAGGTATATCATTGAACTAATTAACATCAAGCCTAGGTCTGTATATAATCTTAGATCAAATCAAAGTTTATTACTTGACCCTCCTAAGGGGAAAATGCTTGCCACGTTGGGGGACAGATCATTCTCTGCTGCTGCCCCGTACTTATGGAATGCTCTGCCAGCTGAATTACGTGATATTCAATCATTTTCCATTTTTAAATGTAAGCTGAAAACTTATTTATTTCGTGCAGCTTTCTCAAAGTACCCTGTCTGACAATTACTTTTATTAGTATTACTAATTAAGTTCCTTATTAAGATCCTTATTATGGATATTCCATATTATTCTTATTTTTAACATACATTGTTAATATTAATGTACATGTAATTAGTTTTATAAATTTGAATTTACTGTAGTATTTTAAGTTGTTAAGCGCTGTTGATCATTGAATGAAAATAGCGCTCTAGAAGTTATTAAATTAAATTAAATTAAATTTCTATGTGCCCCGCTTTTCTAAGCATCTTTACACCAGAGAGTAACTAACTTTGTGACTTTAGATGGAGGAGCAAACACGCCATGGCTCGGCTTGCAGTCGAAGTATCTGACTCCTGCTACTGAGCCATCGTTCTTCCCAACAGCCTGCTGCAGTTCAATACCAAGCCAAAAACTACAAAAAAGAAAAACACATGCTGGCCACGGATTCTTATTACTAATGAGTTAACCCAGAATTTCGTTCATGGCAAAGTAACTTTGAGAGATTCAAAACTTCAAGAATCGTGTAAAAGGAATCTTACATTTCTTTTAGTGATCACTTGGGTATTTGACTCGATCATGACAAAAAAAAATTATTTAAAAAAATATGGCGGAATGCTCGAAGGATTCGTGAAAATTCTACTTGGAAATCAAGATTGAGGTACTTTCATAAGCAACAATCTATTAGTTAAGAAAAATAACTGTTAGGATCGGTTAGGATACAGGCATGATTTCTGCAAACATTGCAGGATACTTACATACATACATACATACATACATACATACATACGTACATACGTATGTAGGATACTTGGTGCGCAGAACTAATAAAAAGGTATTTGGTTTCTTGTTCAACTTCCTGGTATGCTTTTGGCAATAACCAAATAGCCATCATTTGGCTTTGATTTAGTACAGCACACTATACTTGCCAATAGAAACTATCAAAAACTTTCGATGAAAACTCACCCTTCAGCAAACTGCGTTTTTCCGATGAACCTTACAACTCCATTTTTCTGGCCGGCGACCATGACATTGTCACCAACCTACAGAGATCAGGCAGTAACAATGAGCTTAACCTCGGATTATGAGCATAGCCTCAGTTAAAAAAAATTCCGCTGTAAAATATTACTATATAATCTTACACGAAGAAATGCACGATACGAGTCGAAATCAACCGACCGTACCCAAAGGGTACTTACCTGGAAACCTAGCGTTTCGTCAGTTCCATTCCCTCGCGGAGAGGGAGACGGGGAACCGGATCGAGAGCTTGCTCTCGAGTTAGTTCGTGAACTGGGTCGCGACGACGGCCGTGAGCCAGAATGAGAGATCTGGGCTTGAGCAATACGAGAGGCAGAGGTTGGTCGGGAATTAGGACGGGAGTTTGGTAAGGAGTCTGCTTTACTCATCTTGGACAGTGGAGCGAAGATACCTGATGATTGAAACCACAAAAATAAGTTACTACACTCAGTGCAAATGAAAATAAAGTGAAACTTTAACAAAAAAGAGGCTAAACAAACAAACAAACAAACAAACAATAACAGGCATTAATTATAAAAATGAGGATCTGGCTGGAGTCATGGGTGACAAAAAGAAACAGTTCTGGGAATTGCTACAACTTTGATATTATCAACTGTGTGAGCTAATCCCTGTGAAAGTGGAGTTTGGGTTCAAGTCTTTTTCATGAAACAGATATTACAAAATATGAAGTTTCGTCTTTCACTTAAATCAACAGGCTTTACATTTACCATCTTCATTTAAATCATCATTAAGCAAAAGCATCATATTTAACATTCTTATCCTAGCAGTATGCAAGAAGTTTGTCTTCATGGACCTAGTTAAACAGCCGAGCCTGCCTAGAGTCTTTTACAGCTCAGTAGTAGGGCATCTGAAGTGAAAATCAGAAGGTTGTGGGTTCCGCTCTTATCAGAAGCACTCGTAGTTGTTTTTTTCTCCAAGTATGGGTCATTTTCTGAAATCATCATCTTTCACAAAAAATAAACTGTTGGTAAAAATTCTATTCTTACAGGTTCTCACCCCTAAATGATTTACAATTAATTAATTTTTAGCAGGGTTTGATAATGCTCTATCTTATAATTCATGCACAAATAGTGTAATGACTTATATGTACTTGAATCAAGTAATAAAATGCAAAGACGCTCTTAATTTTGATTAGTCACCCTTTAAACATTTTCCCCAAATATATAATTGGTACCAGCCTGGTTTGCTATGCCCCACCTTACCATGCTTAGGTAGACATTGGAAGTATGACACTCCCCCTACTGAACCATCATTTTTACCAATGGGCATGTCCAGTTCTACACCTGCCCATTCCCCTGATGCAAAGTCTGTTGGACCACAGAAGCGAAGAATCCCAAACTGCAATGAAACCATTTGGTTGTTAGTTGATGCAAAACCAAATTCTCCAAACCAACATCATAAGAATAGTATGGCAGGTAGAAGAGAGAACTACTAATGAGATATTAGAGATAATTGCATTTGTTAGACAATGCAATCCTTTTAACAAGTTGTTTCAACATGTTGCAGGGACATGTAACTTTGTCCATGAAACAGAGTTTGTTCTAACAACACCTTACACAAATATTAACTAGTTGGAATACATGCCATCATTGCAGCAATAAAATCCATGAAATTATAAGTTGCACCAACTTTTTGAAAAAGTGGTAGTCCCTATATGAAGCAGTAATTGCTGCAACCTTTCACAATCTTAAGAAATTTGTAAACTAAACTTTTGCAACTAAATTGTATAATTATGTACCTTACTCCCTCCTATACACACTTGATCACCAATTTTAAGTCCCATAGAAGCCAAAGTAGATGGAATCTCATTCTAAAAGATAAAGAATGTTGAAGAAAATTTGATTTTGGAACTGCTGAGTATGATGCAACAAAGGTAAAACAAATTGCATCATCACTGTTATTAACAATAATTAAAAAACAACTGGCATTTTTGATGAATGATTGAAAAACAAATTGGCATCATTATTACTGATATTGTGAAATTATACAGGATAAGTTACATCATGATTACTTTTGAAATTGTTAAACAGAGTGCATATTAGAATAATATTATCACAACAAGCTACAAATGTCATGAAAAAGTCCATTCAGAGTAGAATATCTTATTATCATTACATATACTGCATTGTAAAAAAGATTTTGAGTAACCAGGCTGTGATGCAAAGTAGGTGGTACAAGGACAAGCCTCAATGTTCAAAATTGAGCCACAAGCATTCAGAAAAGCCGGAGTGTCTTTTAGAGTAAACAATCAAATACACCAGTTGCTGGCTTATTTTGAAAAACCCTGCATACAAATTATCATCTTCATTTGATAGTATAGAGCCTTATGTATGAATGAAACATTTTTTTCCTTACCTCTTGATCTTGCATAGGTTTAAGTGGAGGCTCAGCTTCTGACAGAAGTCTTGTCAGCTTGTCAGCAACCATTGCTGGTTCAGAATCTTGCTCATACACTGCAGCTTTATACGGATAAGTAACTTTAGTTATTGCATGAGAATATGGACAATTAACAAAATATTGTATGAAAAGGCAAATTCTGAATTCCTTAGTCAAGTGTATAATCTCAAAATCAATTGAAAATTAAATTTCTACAATGTAGAAATAAAAAATATGACTGCTCTTTACACTTACCAACAGGAATACAGTGCAAAGCTAGTCTGTTAAGTTTGTCTCTCAGGGATGCATCTGCTCCATGCTGAAGCTGAAATACATCAACAGTCAGTTACATAAAAGGCTCATGTCTTTAATAAGTATCAACTGTAGATAAATGGCCATTAGCAAGGTTTCGACTGTATTATTCAAATGGACACTCACTAAACACTTGGCTCCTTCTAAACAGAGATTACTTGCAGCAATATGCAGAGATGTGCCATTATCAAATTCTTTACACTGAGTATCAACATCTGCAAGTAATAAAAAAGAATGTACATCATAACAATAAATCAGTTGTCTAGTTGAGATCCTTCTTTTGATAATGCAGGGTCGGGTAGGGTCCTAAAAAAATATATAATCCAGTATAACAAGCTGCAACCATTTGATCATCATGCTGAGAGAAAAACAATTTGCCATCTAAAATTCCAGACCAGTTTGGAAACTGTGCTAAATGATATTTTGAAGAGCCATTTCCTTGTCATCACTTCCTGTTTATGGCTTCTCATCCATTCCCAAAAAACCTAAGCTGAGAAGCTCATTTACTTGAAACTGTTGTTGGAAAATATCAACAAGGGTTAGCTCTCTAGTGAATCAGGTAATTTTGGTTTTATCAACTGATTTTATGATGTCAATTGGCCACCATAAAGTGTCAAAGCTGAAGTTTCAAGAATTAGCCCTTTGTCAGCTCTAATGAAGAGCTAATGCTTGAAACATCAGCTATGAAACTCTTTACAATGCCCAATTTACATTATCAACTCAGTTAGTAAAACAAAGATTACCTTTTTTTTACTCCCCACTGATGCAGCAACACAGTTTTTTTAATTTGAAACTTAGGGTACCCTCTTTATTCTCTAGTGAAAGGCCAATTTGTACTACACGCTGGGTTTTCATTAAGGAGGGTACATTAGCTTCAATTATTATTTCAGTAAATGGATTTCTTTCAGTTTGAAACAGCTGTTTAAAAAACTTACCTCTTGCATTGGATGCCTTTAGTAGAACTCTAATGATTGGTGCCGCATCGAAGAAGGATGCGTAATGTAAAGGAAGCATGTCAGTCCAGCGACACTTCTGACTAACATCACTACCCTGTGCAGTTTAAAAAAGAGATGATGCTAATTGTTGCTGAATAAAACTGATGATATCTGAAATACCTCTTTTAAAAATTGTATCAATCCACAGCCACCTTACATCTAAATCATTAATGTCTGCTCATGATAAAGAGTGGAGAAGTGACAAGAACCAATTTTACTGTTCTTACCTTAGAGATAAGTGAACTAACAACACTGCTTGCAGCTCCAACATCACCAACACCAACTAGAAAAAAATGTGGATAACATCAAAGTGGATGTTCAAGCTTAAAATAGAGAAGCAAAAGGCAGGAGGCTTTCCAAGATGTAGGTATATGACACATGCCTGTTCTACCCTTCCTTTTCCAACCTTAACCAACTGTTCCAAAAATTTTCTCACTGATTAATGAGTATAATTCTAGCATACCTGCACCGGCTTTGCAAGCGTAATGCAGCAATGTCATGTCTGTCAAACCATCCCGATCATCAACATGAGCACCTCGTCTTAACACCTGAAAGTTAGCATGACATAATTGAGGTGAACAACCTGCCATGATTTGAATATCTTTAGAACAACCTAAGTTGAAAATTTTACAGTTTTCTATAAAATCTATATGTCACAAATTATAAACTTGGTCATTGGGCTCACTATGTCTGCCATTTTTTTTTTCTTGATTGTAGACTACATGATGAGATTTCCCTCTTCCCTGGACGAAATCAGTTACAAAAGATTACAGCAATATGCAGAACTCAGGATATAGGCATGCAAAAAGAAATCATTACTGTTACAGTATTGATTTCACCTTAAATCTCTTTAGTTAGTAACATCTTTGGAATGTGGCCATGACATAGAGACTGATAATATGTTAAAATAAGAAATGCAACTTGTTACACCTAGTTGAATGTAAAATTTGATACTTAAAATTCCTCAATTGAGGTAAAACTCCATGCCTTTGCCTGTAGTCTTGCCACTTCCTCTAGGAGTTCCATCTGGTGCCAACATTTTTTCACTAATTTCTTTACACCCACGCAAGGGAGTTTGCCAGAAAATGAGGACAGCTTGTAGTTCAACAATAATGTAACATTAAATATAGGCAACCTTAAAAAATGCAATCTTAGCCCAGATATAGACTATTAGATGGTGCACTTTTGCATACACAGCTCACAGACACATGAACATCCTTCTACCTCACCTCTTTAATAAACATTTCAATGTTTTGTTGAACTTGTGGTACCCATTGTCTCATAATTGCAAAAATCTCCGAGATGGTTGTCGTTGGTCTACAAAAAATGGTAATTCAAGTTTGAGAATACCAGTTCTACAGCTGAAGGGGCACTTGATCTGACCAAACTGAACATACAAATCTCATTTTATAATCATTTTTAATAGACACAAGAGAGATGTTACAAAGTACTACCTCTCAAAGTAAAGTAAGACTAAGACACTGCACAACCAGGCAACCAGGATGTTATTATCCATAATGCAAATTTTCATTTTATGTCATTAGTGTATGTTATAATTGAAATAAAAGGGTTCCATCTTGCTATTACATAGAGTTGAGTCAAAACTGTGCTTCCTGTTTCTGCATAACAAGGCAAGAACCAATAGAATACACATCCTTTGGAATGACACAGTTGCATCAATTCATAATGGTAATAGGACCAAGTAAAGTTTAATTCGGTCTGTAATCATGTATTTGAGTGATTAACAAAATCAAATGGCCACAAAGCTAACTCGGCAAAATGCAAGACAATAGCATGTACACATAATGCATTCTGTCCACTTACACAGTCATGACGTGTTAACTGTTGCTTACACTGTCCTCTTAGTGCTCAAATCAGGCTGGTGATGGCAGGGCTTGACACTAATAGTAGCCCACTAGCCACAGACTAGTAGAAATTTAGTTTATGCTGGTGGTTTTCAATTTCCACTATCCAGTTTGGCTAGTAAACAAACTGAAATTGTCATAACGTCTAAGACATCACTAGTCACTTGGCTGGTCAGTTGAAAAGTTAGTGTCGAGCCCTGGATGACCAGTTATAGTTTTGATTAAAGGAGTAATCAAGGCCAGTCAATCCTTCTAACCAAGAGCATTACCTTCTTTTTAAGGCTCATTTTTCTTGACTAGAATGGACGAAATTACAGGTTTAATGAAAATCCTATATGACTTTCCTACATGAAATTCCTATATGACTTTCCTATGACTTGGGAAACACCTCATTTTTAACCCCTTCATTCCCTAAATCTCATTAGTAATTCCCCTTACTGCCTGTCGTACAGTTCTTATATTAATAGTTTAGAGAATTTGTTATTGGATCAACTAATAATCCCTTAGTTGAAATTTTTCTTTAATTTCATCATTTGTCTGCTTGATATTGTATTCATTTGATGCTGTAAGGCAAAACTTTGTCTTGGTCACTCATGGAGGTTTAAGGGTTAATTGAAAATTTCTCTAAACAAGGGTGTAATTTTGAGAGACTCTGGTAGCTTATGCCAATGCAGTATGGATTGATCAAAAATGAAATTGTGTAAACTCACTCTAAAAGAATATCTTGACAGCCAGGACAATTTGGATCAAAGAAGGTCAGTTCTAGCTTCCTGCACTACAAAAAAGAAAATGAACAAGCAAGTTAAAAAGATATGATAATAGCAAAGTTGTTTTCTTACCTGAAAGAATTCACAAGTATGAAAAATTAACAAGACCTTTCATTGAAATCTAAGGTATTGTGTTACCTGAATTGAAGGGCGTTTAATTGAAAATTCACAAATACCTTTACAAATCAACCCACAAAGTTAGGTCTTTCGAATTATATTTGTTATACAAAGATAATTATTTTGTTTGCCAATTGGGAACTTAATTAAAGGTGACAATATTTCAACTTAATGGAGTTTTCTTAAAACTGTTATAATCTTGAATAATTAATGCTATTTGCTTGCCATTTGAACAAAGACTAAGAACTTGTTAAAATTCAATAAATACAAGCGTGTTTGGTTAAACACAAATTTTTGTTTCAAGTGCTTTTCGTATTAGTTAAACAAACTTACGTTTTCGCACAAAGGAGGGTCTGCTGGCGGATGAGAAATTGGTTTGTCGCGAGCCGGCATTACAAAATCGGTCACCACAAATCCAGAAGAAAAGCTGGATGTCTTTTCCTGAAAATATAAACACAAAATCCCCAACCGTTTCGTCTCGCACGAGTTTGTTTACATCCAATAAAATCGCAAAGGGTGGAAAAGTCTCTTTTGATCGTATTTACTTCCACACGTAATGGGTTACCACGTAATTTATTACAAACAAATTCATTTTCCCGATTTCTTGGTTAAGAAAATGTAAAAAAAACTATCAGTTCATTTGACTCAAAGTTTTACCAACACTTGTTGACATAACTTCACATCGGACGAACTGGTGAAGTACTGTAGCGATTAATCGCATTAATTTACGGCAAACCACAGTTTAAATTTTCTTTTCACCCTGAAAAACTATTCAACACTTTCGTGAGTGAAAATTAATTTGCTTCAAACAAATAAAACTTTCAAAAGGTGTATCAAAACTGTATACCTATTTTCCCTAAGTTAAACAAGCCAGCTATGACGACATTCTGAAAAAGCTTTTCTAACACACAATGAAATAGGACAAAAAAATTATTCATGGCTACAAATTCAAACAAGTCCTGCACTTAGATAGATTTCTTACCTTTCCAGGCATTGTAAAATAAAATCAAACTTGCGGAGAAAACGAACTTTTAGCGCAATTTTATCGAGACATTTTCGACGCTTTCAGAATGTTTTTGGAGGGAATCTCTAATGACGAAAGCCGCTGGCCGATAATTTCATGACTCACGGCGCCTAAACATTTATCCTGACTTTCAAAGGAAGTAGAAAATCGGCAAAACGTGCCGACCGCAGTTACAGTCCTTCAGGAATTACGTTTATCAAACACCAATATTATTGGATCAAAACGTTCGTAATTGTTCTCGTCTCTAATCCGCACCGGCGGTAATCTTGACCTTCAAAACTGCTTATATTTTAGTTTTCTTTTCAACAATTCCAAGGTAGGAATTAAATCGAATTTGGTGACCTCTTATAATTAGGAATAGAATATTCTAGTGGTATCCTACAAGAGAAATAATTTTCTAGTAATCAGAATAAATTCTATTCTTTGTGGAAATCACTGACCACACCTTTAATCTTTGTTATTTCCTTTTCTGTCTAGTTTGTGGATAACAAGCTTAAACCTAAAAATCACGAAAATTCCTTTATATGTGCAAAACTTTTGAAAAAAGGAGAAAATTATAGTACAAAGTTACTAGAAGAACATAAAGCAGTCACGTCATCTTTGAGGAGGGAGAAAGAGGGGTCGGTCGACGGTTCGTGTTTGAACACGGGTTTCCATCAGCACCAGTCAACCGCCATTCAGTCGTAAAGCAAAACGTATTCTTTTTTATATTGGACTCGCTAAATTTATGTTAACTCTCACTTATGGCTAAACTCAATATTGCAAATCACTCAATACAGAAATGCTAACTCATCTCGTCAAGCATTCCTATCGAGTGACATCATATAATTCAAAAATCGCTTTAGTGAACGTGATCTGCCAATATCAAAACATTTACGACAGTACAGAGCGATTACTGATGCAGTAAATGTTACGGGCGCTATGTTGGTAAATGAGACAGGGGCGATAATATGACCGGTACCCGCAGCGAAAAAGAGAGAATGGTTTGGGACGGGCTGCTTAAAGAACGCTTCAGAAATATTTTTTCAAAAAGCTCTTTTAGCTCACGCGAGACCACCTGAGGCAAACCTGTTGAAGAACTATTTTGAGTTTTCGTCGATTCTAGAGCCAGATGATGCATTTATAAAGCGTCTAATCACTCATATGATTTTCTAACGTCAACTTTTTTATCTGATCGGTTTGTCACTCACTGGGGTGTCCATGTCAGGTAGCAGGGGGTGCTCCCAACGACTCTCCCCAGTCACCGAGTTGAAGTAGTACAATCTGCCACTGTGAGTCTTGGACGAGCACAAGCTCCAGTTGTCCGGGAGACTGGATTCGAACCTTCGACGAGTTTCCAGGTCGTCGTTGAATTCAACATCCATTTCGTAATCTGACTACAAAAAAAGGGGGGTTAAGACTCCTTAGTAACAATAACAACACCAACAATAATAACGCTAACAGACTTTATTCGTCATAACTAATACTGTGATATCTAAATTAAGTGTATCTCCCAAAACATTATACAAATGTTTTTAAAACATTAATTGATATTCGTGTATGTGGAATATTTATTGTTCTATACAGAATTATGTCAGTAAGTTTGTCATATCTGCTCTACATTCTGCAGCATTCCATTGCTTATACGTTGCACTTCCGTTGTTGTTACTTTAGAGAGTTTTTTTCAGTCCATTCCCAAGTTCATATCATGTCAAGTTGAATAAAAACTTTTCTCAAAGACATCCGCAGGTCATCGTTTAGTCTCCTAACATTCCGACTCAGAACACAGAGTACCCCCCCTCCCGAAAAAATAAAAGTTCTTATCTACATCAGTTATCTGTTCGGATACCAGTTCGGAATCTATAAAGCAAAAGTGCTTCTGACCTACCGACATCAGCACTGGGTGGTTGACATAATTATTAACAGGGTGATTAAACTACAAAGAAAACTAAAATGGTACCGGTGGAAACTCAACTTCCCTTTCCACGAGTATTCATCAGTAAAAATATGTATACGTACGGCGAACACTTCACAACCACTCACCAAAATGGAGGTGGCTACTGGTAGTGGCGCAGGGGGATAGACATAGCCGCGAAGGAGTGAGGTAGACTTTTACAGCTAGCCACCGACACTAAGGTGAATAGTTTTTTCAGTATACACTAAAACGGTGAGATAATATAGCACAAAAAGATGATTTTAAATAATTTATCAAGGGCGTAGCCAGGGGGGGTTCTTGGGGTGCCTGTGACCCCCCCTTCTTTAGAGCAAACAACCTGCAATATTCAGGTGGCAAAAACGCCATGACAATATCTTGGCCGTAAAAGCCATTGTTGAAAAGCCCACTTTTTTAAAATTTGTTCTTTTTGTAAGTCAGCGGCTCTTGTATTTAGTTAATATGGGCCTTCATGCCGCGACAATACGACTGAGCCCGCTGATACACGCAGGAGAGCAGCGGTGTAAATGGTGAGTAGCCTCTGTGGCCCCCCTTTGAAAAATCCTGGCTACGCCCCTGTTTCTATTATACCTGAAACGATTGCAATATTTTCAGACTCAAATCCCACGCGAGTTGCTCGAAGGTGAATGGGATTAGATATTCGGAGTTAGAGTAGCCAGCCAATCAGAGCGCTTTCCACTGTTTTTCAGCATACACTGGATATGGCTATTCCGGTGTACCTGGTCGTTAGTGATCATGAGGCACATACAATGTAACGCAATTAACTGTCCTATTTGGACTAAGGTTTTCCGCGGTCACCTATCTAACATTTAGCCAAGAGGGGCAACGGTAAACTCCTTTGGGGTTTACTTTCATTTTGTCGGCTTTTGTAGTGTATGACATCTGTAACTGAAGAAGTTTAAGCTATAATCAAGCTTGACGGTTTTTCTCTCTTTGGCATGTTACTTCATCCTAGCGTTTCAATTAATTTCAACTGGAAAAGTGGGTTGTCATTTTCAAACACGTTCATGCATGTTTGCATGAGTATCATTGATAAGGTATTTCAGCCATAGACTTAAGTCGTGTGACCTCGCTTAGCCGATCCAAGCTGATTGATGGGGTTGTAATGGCAACATGGTGTAATCAAAACGACTAATTTAAAACAATTACAATACAATTCAAACGCAGTGAAATTCCTGTGTATTAATACGTTAAACCGTGATGTAAAAGAAAAATCTTTAAGTTCGGTAGCATGCGTCTGTTTTCTCTCACAGCTAAAGGTATTTCACATTTGAACCTTTTACAGTACTTGGATTCGCGTGAAGTTGAAATTTGTAGTGAAGTCTCAATGCATACGCTACTTTTTACTGTCGCCGCCGAGTGATAAGGGAATGCAAACAACAGCTTCTAAACTAAGGAATCTTTCTGAAAAAACATACCTGAAAGTGTGTCAGGATACAGTTTTCGCCATGTACTCTGATTTGACAGAATTATCTGCAACGGTTTTGGTGAATTCCATGGTAGCCGCTAGACTGATTTTAATAAGACTAATAGAGCTGAATTCAGATCAGGGTGAATACAAAAGTGTCAAATTCATGTTACTTTTTGACAACAGGAAACAGTCTTTCTTTGTATTCAATAGATGATAGTAGAATTAGTGAAAAGATAATAACAGTTGTTGATAGTTTTTCAGCCGATTATATAAACAGCTTGTGTTGTGGTGGAAAACATTTCATTTCGATTTATACCTACTCATCCCGGTCGCTATTTTCTTGGGCAAGAATAATTGGTTAAAGTTTTTCTTCCTTTGCCAATATCTTGTATTTAATTGTTTTCGTTATAGATAATAAAAAAATTAACAAAACGACAATGCTTTAAACATTCCATTCCTTTGTTTAAGGGATTAAGCCACTTAAGAATATTATTTACGACGTGGTTCTAAAAGTCGTTAGCGAACCGTTCGTCGTCACACCCGCTTGAGCACAAACAAGAGAAGTGTCAATGGTGAAGCCGCTTCTAGCGGGAATAGAGGGGGAGGCGGAGAGGGGGAGCTCGTGCTCTCCCCTTCCATTTTATTGGGTAAAAGTAAGTAGAAGACAAAAGCGTGTTTCGCCTCTCGCGCGCTCACGCTTGCTTTATGCTTGCCTGACTTAACGATGCCTGTCCCAGAGCCTATCCCCTGATTTAGACTGCTACGCAAGCTAAATCTGTCCTTACTCAAGGGAAGAAATGACCCTTGCAGGTGAGCTCCAATTTAGCAATTGCAGTAAAGAAGCCTGAAAAAGTTCAGACCTCAACCACGCTTCAACCTGTGCCACATTTCTTAAGCGTGACAGTGGAGACGAAGACCGAAATTTTTCAGGCTTCTTTTCAGCTCATTCTTAAATTGCAATTCACCTGCAAGGACCATTTCTTCACTTGAGTTTCATTCCTTACTATGGAGTGTATCGGCGACCCGGGAGAATCTGGCGTGTGGGTGACGTCATCATCATCTGTGATGCATATAAAAGGCGTCGGGGAGTCTATCTGGGCAAGAATGTCAATAGATAGATCCGGAATGGACGAGGCATCCGAATCTTCAGCATTGAGGTCATTTAAGCTAAAAATAAACGACAATTACAGATCTTTTCAAGGCATACAAAAACAGCAACTGTATTCAAAGTTCTTATTTTGTTCCCAAAGTGTGGTGATTTTGAGAAGTGTGAAATATTTCAATTTGTAACCCGGCCTGAAATTATTACTAAAGAATTCTCAAGTTTTCTCAGCGACGTGCAACCTTTAAGGTGGATTAGAGAGTAAAGGCAAGTGAGAACATGGACCAAAGAGAAAAACGCATTTTTAGTTACAAAGCTTCTTTAAAAGAGAGAAACAAAGGGAATTTAGATTCTAGAAAACAAAGGAAACAGTTTTCGTCGCAGCATGCTTCCTGATAATTTCGATATCGCTGGTTAATTATTAAAACTGACATCTTTAGGGTCATCAATCTTTTACGGAATTATAATTGACTGGGTAATGTTTTGCATAAGATAATCGATTCTTATCTTATCTTGGTGTGACATTCTATAGTAACTAATGTCAATATTAGGAACGTTATGGTAATTCTTGTAATGTTCAAAACTTAGTATGCTCTTATGTCATAACAGTTTGAGCTCTGAAGCAAGGGGGTAACATAGTTTACGTCACGCAGAGAAGGAGACAGATAGCCTAAAACCTGAGGAAGTTATTTCGCGAGGTCTTTAAAAACTATCCTGATCAAAAAAGTGCTATTTCATAATTATGATTTGAGAGAAAAAGTGCTTCTCGAGCAGCAACGAGATCTGTGAAAAATTTGAATAAGTAGGAAGATTATATGCAAGGAACGGTTGGTGAGGTGAGCGACTTAGGCAGGCTTACAATCCACACAATCTGGAATCATCTTAAATGTTTCGGTCTGTCTTAAGAGTGATTCTTCCGGCTAACCGTTCAGAAAGTCATTAAATGTCGAAGAACTTACTAGAATTTTGAACTTTCAGATCTTCACTTACCTTAACTCAATTAGAGACATCTGTGCTGTAAAGTGAGGTGATCAAATGGTTGTGTTATGAAGTCGAATCACTCTGGGTCAATTTTGAATAACACATTCGCTGCATCAGTCTTAATTGACTACACTTAGCGACAGTCATTTAAGAACAACCTGCAAATCCTTTTGCAAACATGACAAATTAAAAAGCGGCGATTAGCATCGAAAGCGCAATTTGGAGACCGGTAATAAGATCACAAAAATCACAACATTGTGTGTTGTGTACGTTGTGTTGTGAAATATGATCTATTCAAAGACCGCACGCTATGATCTTCCTTATGTTAAAGCAGGGTGTGAATGGGGTTAACCGACTAGCGACAAAGGGCGAAGAAAACCACTGACTACCGACAGAAAAAAAATGAACCGACTACCGACATGGGCCGACATTATCGACATTTGTTTTCAGAAAGATGAGATCAGAAGAGCATTTTGTATTTTTTTCTAGTTTACGAAGTAACGCATTAAAGGAAGTCTAACTTTTGGTCGAGCCATCGAGGGTCGAGGGTCTTATGTCGAGGGTCTTATGTCGAGGGTCTTATGTCGAGGGTCTTATGTCGAGGGTCTTATGTCGAGGGTCTTATGTCGAGGTCGAGGGTATTTAGTCGAGGGTCCCTTTTTTTGTTTTTCTTTTTCGCAGCCCATGTAACTAATTCTGTTCAAATGAATTGACTTGAGTTCAAATGCGATCTTGAACGTCACGTCCACTGTCTGCGTCCCGGTTCTTTGGCTGACAACGCCGACCTGTATAGCTGTAGTGCTATACTGAAGCCAAAAACGAAATGGAAAATCTGTACTTTGCGAAATAAGAATCTGTAGTTTGCCAAAGGACTTCATCGCTGCGTCTACTAAACAACGCCACGTCAGTGTGCCCGGGTAATGCGTGAAAAGTTATTGGGAGAGGAGGGGGGAGGGGAGATTTCGAAATGCGGGAATTTAATTTTTTCGTTATCATTTCTCGTATGAATTTTTTGGCCATAGCATGGATATGTTTCAGGGTCAATTGGCGTGCATGGATTTTTTTTTATTCAATTTTCCCTTTCGCGAATATTTTTTATTTGTACTTCGCTCGCCCTCACCCCTAAGGTATTTTAATTGTCCGTCGTGTTTTCGCGGCGAACACGAACCGGAAGCAAGGCCTTTTCTCTTTTTATATGCCTTGACGATACCACATTTGTATTGATAAGTGTCAATACTCTTATGGAGGCGGTCTGCCTGAAAATTTAGACAAAACCACCACGGACGTGGACGTGACGTTCAAGATCACATTTGAATTGAAGTCTGATTTATTTTAACAGAACAAGTTTGCCTTGATTTGGTAACAACGTCAATATCCGGTCTCACAAAGTGACCCTCGACTAGGAACATGGGCTGCGAAAAAGAAAAACAACAAAAGGGACCCTCGAATAAATACCCTCGACCTCGACATAAGACCCTCGACCCTAGATGGCTCGACCAAAAGTTAGACTCCATTAAAGGTAACTATGGAATTTCCTTTCATTTTCTTACTTTTGGCCGGAATGGCGCGGCATCACTTTGCAGAACAATTTCCGGTACTTGAGCCCACGAAACCCCCCGCTGTAATATTTCAACCACGTTGTTTGTTCATACGGTCCAGCCATGTCAACATTTGAGTGGAATCATAAAAGTGATTGTCAGTTTTTTTCCGAAAAGGCGAAGAAGTCGCAATCGAACACCACCGTAGCTGGATTCCGGTCGACAAAGATAAACACACAAGAGTATTCGAATTTAAAAAACATCTCACAGAATTTTTTGGGATTGAAGGTGCAAGCTCTTCAGTTTGGAATTGGTGGTTTCTCGCTGAAGCTCTTTGTGACTGAATTTTAACCGACAACCGACACGTGGACCCCCACATTCAGACCTCTTAATTAAAGACATTTCCATAATTATTAGTCCTCCTTTTTTCTTCCTTGGACTGCTGATGAAAAAACATTTATTATTTGAAACGGCTCTTGGAAGATAAAATGCAATTTAACGCCTAACCTGCCTAATACGCGCCATAATTTTTCATTCTTCTTTCATTTTTTTTTCTTTGTATTATTAAATCGAACAGGCGAACACTGGCCACAGGGCAAGAGATTATTGGTTTATAATCTCTTACCACAGTACTATTAGTATAGTTCAGTGTCACTAAGGTAGACCGAAAAAGTAGAAAAGCCAATATGATAAATCGGTGCATTGAAAGTGGTTCCGGAAAAGAATGAATAATGGAGTGCGAGACCGGAACAGCAGAATGATTTTATTTTCGTTTCAAGAGCGTCTTACGAGTTTAAAGATTAAAAGTTACCTGGAAAACAGGCTTCAATTTTTGTCGCTTTTGAAGAGAACGCGAAACTGGTAGGACACACGCGAGAGAAAGAGCACTCGCCTCGTACTTGTGCTCACTCGACTGAGGAGCATTGTTATTCTGCAGAAACGACAGCGCATGCGTTAATATCTTATTGTCCCTCTCGGGTAGTGCTAAAAAGTGCAAAATATACCTGAAAAAAGCTTATATAAAAATGTTTGGTAAAAAGGGCAATAACGTTTGCAAAAGTTAAGGGAATGAACACAACAACAATTAAACGTGAATACTTCTTGTATTTTAAAAATCTGATAAAAAAGTAACACAATTAAAAAATAAATTGCTTTGAATAATTGAAATAAGATAATAGTTACGTGATCAAGTCATGATACCTATGAACAGTGGTTTCAACAGTTGAAGAATACATATCATACAAGTTTTGCTGGCAGATAGAGAAGCGTAGTCAAAGAAGTTTCTTTATACAGTACAAAATAACCAACTGTGCAATATCGCATGGTACTTGTACACTACTTGGTGCAGTTGGATAGGTGCTTAATCGAATAAATCCATGCCTGTCTTTTTATTTCTTCTCATATTTTTTATGCTTAAAAACGTTCTTATTCTGTCATGAGAATGTCCTAGTCTAAAAACAAATCGGTGAAATTCCTCTCTCAAGTTGGAAATCCTCGGCTTAAAACAAAAAATTGTTGGAAATTTAACTCTGACTCCTTAAATTACATTTATTTGTAGATATATATATATGCATTTAATTTTGTTAAATATCTAATATCTTTTTACATGTAGGTACCTCGGTGAAAACTGACAATTCAATTTGTTTTCCTGAAAAGTTCCGAAGGAAATAATAAAGCCTACATATAAACTGAATATCAAAATTTCAGTAACCAACATATAATCATTCATATTTAACGTGATTTTCAATAAACATTTAATGGAACCTAAAATTTTATCCCAATGACAGACTATAAACGCCCTCACTAATTAGGTCCATTCATTAATTTTAACGTTATATCTCTAAAAGTGTCGAGTTTTCAACATTCTGTGGCCGGTGAGATGAGGCTATAAAATTAAACTTATCAATGAAATGAAAAGCTGATCACTATAACTTGTTTTAGGAAAGGAAAAAATAAAAATGTTCAAAGAAATCTTTCGGCCATTGAATTAACTCCCTCGTGCATTGTCTAAAAAATAAACGTTGACCAGCAACTGACAAAATTTATCAAAAAAATTTTCGTTTTCTTTCATTCAAAACTGAGCCAAAATTTAGAATTTTGGTAATTTTGTGGAACAAGCGGATCGTCACGCAACACAATTCGCGTGACGCACTAGGTTCTTCATTGAAGACCGTCAAGGAGAACACATCGGTCAAACGTGAGGCACGCGCGAAGGGCAGTGCGCAAAGGGCAATGCGCGAAGAGCATGCACGAAGGGATCAAAGGAAACAAAAGCAGGTAAAAAAAGGAAAACTAGAGACTATTTGAACACAAAGCTTATTCAATTACGGGCATCGTGTCGATTTTTCATTCTGTTTTGAGCTTTACCAAAAAAGTAATACGGTTCTAAAACATCGTGAGTTACTGGCTTGTGTGTGGTTGTTTGTAACTCGTGTGGGACAACTTAGTACTGGCAGCCTGAAAGCACATCACCAAAGTGCCAATTGGTCGTTGCAACGCTGGCACATGCGCAGACGTTTGATTGCTGTTGTCAAGGAGTAAGAACCACAGTCCCCTTATGGTTGATAACTTACGAGCAAAGCACTTTTTACGAGGGACTGGCCTGAAAGAAGAGTGAAAGATGTTACTAGTCATCTTCCGCCTCCATTGCCTCGGCCTTCAAGGTGATGTGTTTCTGAAATGCAGGCTTGTAATCTGCGAAGTCAACATCCGTAGAAAAACGCAACCGACGAACTTCTCTTTCGTGTAGAAGATCATCCTATAAACCCAAACAAACGAAAAATCCTCTCAGTAAAACCAATGACAGATTCTTGGAAAAGCTAGAAAAAGAGAAACTATCTGAACGAGTGACAAAGAAATGAAAAACGAAAAGAAAGGGTATTAATAGATGGCCCTTTTGCAAAGTAAAATTTCACAACCTGAAAGCCAGCAATATCGACACCATCGCTAAACATAAAACACTAAGGACACCTAAAAAAGAAAAACATGCAACGAAATCATCCCTCCTGTTCGGATTGTTTACACAGCAAAGGAACGCCTCCGTTGAAGCTATTTTACTGTACGTTCGTCCTTCGTCGTCCTTTCCGGTTTTGGCTGATCTGCACAAAACTACGACTGAGAAACGTTTACTTACGGTGGTTGGCTGCGTTATCCAAGCTCTCCGTGGAGTGTACAAGATTGGTTGAGGTTTCTCGTTGATGATTCCTAATGCCGAGGCTGCTCGCAACACTGACGATTTCCGCACTAAAGAAGCACCAGTCGATGGCGCTGTAGATGGAGGCTGCAGAGAGAAAAAAAAAAGGTCACTCACCAAAAGGAATTGAGACGTTTCTCATACTGTAATTCCCACTGAAGGCATACTCATCTCACCTCTTCTTGTTTCTTGTCCGGGGTGTTTTTCACACTGGGCATGTGCGTCTTTGAAGGGGCCGCAGACTTTGTGCCTTTCTTGCGCGGGCTTCCTCCACCTGCATTACAAATTATGAAATACGCTGAATAACACATGCATGCATTTTTCTTGGTTCTTACCTACGATCTATCAAGGAGAGACACATAGATGAGGAGACCATTGACAACATTTTGCCTTTTTTTACAATACTAACACAAATAGATTCCATGTTGCCGCACGTCTGTCTAGAAACAGATCACAGAAGACGTCAACAGTTGATAAGATCATTAGTGATTCACTCGGCTGCGCCTCGTGTGCCACTTTTTTCTTTCGTTCTTACCACATTACCGGTCAATTTTGATGCCGAAAAATCCAGTTCTCTTTGTAAAAACTACCTTGTGGAAAAGCTTAAAATGAAATTTTTCTCAGCTTGTTGTCTCGGGATATAGGCTCCCTAAACTATTCCTTTCGTGCTTGATGAATATTTAACGCAAATCTTCTTCTAAGATGTCCTCCATAGGTAAGGCACCGAGTGTGACAGAGACATTCCTAACCATACAGAGCTCCCCTTTTAGCTTCACTATAGAGTTCTTACGTTCCACACAGTGCGCAGCGTTTGCAAGAAGAAACGCATTCTGCGAGTATCGACAAGACATGAGGTGAAATCATTGGAATGCTTTGGAGAACATGATTAGGTTTAATTAGTGTTTGCAGGATAAGGATGAGACTACTATCATAAACCCGCATAGCTCTATTCTTGAATACATCATCCCAGGCATGACACCGCGATCCAATTATCTATCAGCTTTACGAATACATTACAACTTCGTTCGCCAGTTACCTGAGTTATCCACATAATATGTCTTAAGACCAGCTACAATTAAAAAAACTAAGCACAGAAACTAAAATAAGGCACCGAATGTGACAGTCTTTCTCGGCATGCAGAGCTCGCCTGTTAGCTTGAATATAGAGTTCAGATGATCCACACTGTGCACGGCGTCTGCATGAAGAAACGCGTTCTGCGAGTATCGAGAACACAAGAAGGTGAAATCGTTTGAATGCTTTGGAGAACACGATTCGGTTTAATTAGTGTATGATTACTGGAAAAGGATGAATGAGACTAGTATCATAAACCCGCATGGCCTTATTGTGGAATATATCATCACAGGCATCACACCGCGATCCAATTACCAGCCTGCTTGCAGGCAGCAGCTTGTGTTTTCAAGCGCGAGATTCAGCGGGGCGAATATTCGGTTGCAATATTGGACGGGTGAAAGGTTTGGAACGAGTGACATAGTGAGGGGGAAGGGGAAAGAGAGAAAGAGCAGGCTTTCCAATTACCTATCAGCTTCACCAATAGATTATACCATCGCGTCCGCCAGTTACCAGAGTTATTCGCATATTTTCTCTTTAGACTAAGCTACTATTCGAAAAACTAAGCACAGAAACTAAAACTATATGGCAAAATAACTTGATCACACAACATAGAGAACGCAGAGAGGCAAAACGTAACTAATATTCAGTACAATTTTATTCAGTTGCGTATCATTACTCACATTTCACGTTTAGTTACAATATATTATTGAATCTGTAAAAATTTCATGCTAATATCTTAAAATACAAATCGTATCCGCATTTATCGATGTTTGACATAACTTTCCACCAATCAAAGGGTATTCCTCACATATTTTCCTACAGACAGTAAGTTTTATACGTCATACAAGGGCGCCTTCAAATCCACTATGACATGAGCTCACGCGAAGCTAAAGCAGCAAGCATCACGCTATTGTACGTGAAACGTGAAAAGGCAAGCTGACGTTTACCGTTTGACGTAAACGCAGTGCTAAATCTCTCTATTACTTTAATATTCATGACACAAAACTCCCTTGAATCAGTATTCCAATGAAGTAGGCTTCATGCGGTAAGAGATTGCGCAAAACGCCTGACTGGCATTTTGTTCACACTCCTACTAATCATCAACACCATCGTCATCGTCGTCCACAGGCCCTTTGTTGTCATCACCTCCGTCGTTTCCAAGTCCCTCTGCGTCACTAGATTGCGCATTAGACTTGGGTCGAGGTGTAAATTTTCCTGACGAAAAGAGACATGGACAAGCGTCACTGGTACGTCTAGGTAGGCTCTGCGCGCTTCATCCACATTGGCTAGTCGCCTTCGTAAGTGGTTTGGACGCCGACTTGTCGGAGAACGTTACAAAGAATAAAAGTTTGCATTTTTTTAAAGAACTTTGAGTGCAGTGTGACACCAAACGGAGAAACAGAATTGCACTTTGCCTTGTACTCGAGGGTGTGAGGGAGATGGAGGAAAGGAAAGCGAAGCAGCGAAATTCTTTGACGACAAAGCAAAGCGGATGAAACAGCACACATAGGACAACATTGAATAATATTTCATGAAAACGCAGTGCTGAGTTCACGGTGCTTTCATGTTTATACATTCATGATGTTTGAATAGCAATGTAGCGCAATACAAGACACATTCAGGCAAAAAATAGTAGGTACCGGAAGACACTAATCAATTCACAGATCAATACAGCGCACACGCATTTTCTTGTAATGTTTACAGCTAAGTTCCCGTATATACACCACTATCAACACTGTCTCTTCCATGAAGATATTCGTCCCAAAAGGCCCTCTTAGAAGTTGAAGAAAGACCCCGATAATAAAGGTACATAGATATAGAAGAAGCAGGACTCGACGCACAGCTGGAATCCTCATCCGAGCCACCCGTAGAGAGAGTCCCACATGAGCGTTTAAGGTCAAGCAGAGAGAAGATAGGAAAGCCTTGAAAGATAGTAAAGATACAAATTGAAATATTAGATTATTTTTAAAGCATGGACACAAAAAAGAATGAAGTAGCACAGAGAAAATCAGAAAAAGAGTGACGAATTTCCGCTAGGTTAAGAAGCAAAAGGGTTAAAGGAAACAGACTAGCATTGAGGTTTCTATCAAGAGAACATCATAAAAGACAGGTTAAAACGAGTTGCTGTATTAGTTCTCTTGTTCACTTAGAAAGGTACAGATAAGACCTTGTTAGTGTAACACTTAGAGGCCCAAACCTAAACCTCTAAATTTTCGCACACTCGTCTGCTCCTATTATAGTTGCTGTTATTGTTGTTGTTGATGACGTAGTTGCTGTTTGATGTTATTTATTACATCGGTGTAATTATGAGGGTTTCAGGGGAATCCTATAACTGAGGACACTTGCAGATGTCAGAAAATGAACACAGGAAATGAAACTCATTAGCGGTCAAACCTGGCCATAACTCCATTTTAATCAATCAGGGTAAGAACACCAGAAATCAAATTAGTCGGAGTTTAAGACTGACGTTGACGCCAAAGGCACCGGCAAACGGAAGAAATAAACTTTTATCTTGCTCACTTTTCCTCAAAACTCAATGACACCAGGAGAAAAATACCTGGACACCTGTTGTTCAATGCAATTACAAATACTTCAACTGAACAAACCACTGAAAGAAAAAATAACTAACGCCGTAACTATCCAAAATACTCATTTTGGGCCATCGATACTCTTTTCCAAGATCTGGTGTTAAAATTCTCCTTCAGCCTTTACACTCTTCTTTGTATCAGTTATAGGGATTTGGTGACAGATCAAGATAACAACTCCTACCTGCTAAGTTTGAGTATTCTCATTACCTGTTTGCTGGATAATGTATGCACATTGTAGGGAGACGTTACATGTTAAATATTGAACGCACAATGCTAATAATGATACACAATACTTATACATACGTTTCTTCTTGTCCACGGGTGGCGGGATTTCGTCCCATCGTTTCTGTACAATAGCTACCACACGAGGATCAGCGTATGCTTTGGCGACGTCAAGCGCCGTATGTCCCTTCTTATTTTCCAGCTGAACTTTCGCACTTATGAAAAATGAAAAGTTAACTAAATCCTAGTTTGGAGGGGAACCATAACTAACACTTTTCAGTGCCACTGCGATTTCCTCCGTTCACTAGGGTTCCGCCCTCGATCATGCCTAGAAGGGTAAAGAGGGCGAGCTCATTTCTTGAACAGTGACTGGCT